TTTTTAACTCCTTGCTACCTCAATCACCCTTTTTTTTACCCTTAACCACCCTTAATCCCTTATAAATACCCTTTTTTAACATTTTAAAACATTTTTGCAACCCTGAGCTACCCTCAATCACCCTTTTTTTGCCCTTAATCACCCTTTTTTACCCTTAATCACCCTTAATCCCTTATAAATACCCTTTTTTAACATTAAACATTTTGCAACCCTTAGCCACCCTCAATCACCCTTTTTTTACCCTCAATCACCCTTTTTTACCCTTAATCACCTTATCCCTTATGAATACCCTTTTTTTAACATTTTTTAACATTTTTGCAACCCTTAGCTACCCTCAATCACCCTTTTTTACCCTTAATCACCCTTTTTTACCCTTAATCACCCTTTTTTACCCTTAATCACCCTTAACCCCTTATAAATGCCCTTTTTTAACATTTTTAAACATTTTTGCAACCCTTAGCCACCCTCAATCACCCTTTTTAACCCTCAATCACCCTTTTTAACCCTTAATCACCCTTTTTTACCCTTAATCACCTTTTTTTACCCTTAATCACCCTTTTTTTACCCTTAATCACCCTTTCCTCTCCCTCAGGTCGCCCAGGGATTGACGGCCTCCCAGGACCCATCGGAGACAAGGGGAATTCAGGACCACCCGGGTTCCCAGGACCGGCTGGTCTTAAGGGTAGTAAGGGTGAACCGGGTCTTCCAGGAATTAAGGGTGAAAGAGGATTCAGCGGACAGGACGGACTCCCTGGCGCTCAGGGTGAGAAGGTAAGGGTGAGAGGGGTTGGGGAGAGGGAGGGAGGGAGGGGGAGTGGGGTAAGGGTGAGAGAGAGAGAGAGAGAGAGAGGTAAGGGTGAGAGAGAGAGAGAGGGAGGAGAGAGAGGGAGAGTAAGGGAGAGTGAGAGAGGGAGAGACAGAGAGAGGAGAGTAAGGGGGAGAGAGTGAGAGAGAGTGAGAAGAAGAGAGAGGAGAGTAAGGGGGAGAGAGAGAGAGAGAGAGAGAGAGAGAGAGAGAGAGAAGTAATGAGAGAGGAAAGAGAGATATTAGATTTATATAAAAAAGTGTCATTACAAATATATAGAATATATTAGAATGATTTAAATGTTTGAAGATATTATCAATATTTAAAAGAGTAATTTCTGTCTAGATAAACTAATAGATTTTGAAATATCACTAGTGGTTTGAGAGAGAGAGAGAGAGAAGAAGAGAGAGAGAGAGAGAGAGAGAGAGAGAGAGAGAGAGAGAGAGAGAGAAGAAAGAGAAGAAGAAAGAAGAAAGAAGAAGAAAGAAAGAAAGAAAGAAAGAAGAAAGAAAGAAAGAAAGAAAGAAAGAAGAAGAAGAGAAAGTAAGAAAGAAAGAAGAAAAGAGAGAGAGAGAGAGAGAGATATATAGATAACAGATAAACAAAGAAAGAAAGAGAGAAAAAAGATAGAGAGAGAAAGAGAGAAAAAAAAATTAATCAAATTTTTCCCCCCAAAAAAAATTTAATCCATTTCCCCCCCCCAAAAAAAAATTCTCACCCTTTTTTTTCCACCCCAAATTCTAACCCCTTCCGCCCCCCTTTCTTCCCCCAGGGCGACCGAGGCTTCCCCGGCGCCCCAGGCCAGCCCGGAATCGACGGCTTGAAGGGGTCCCAGGGTCTCCCGGACCCGAGGCCCGTGGGCGTCCCCGGGGTCACCATGAAGGGCGAGAAGGGCCTGCCGGGGCTGGCGGGAAAGCCCGGTCGGAACGGGGTCGACGGCCAGCCGGGTCAGAAGGGCGACGTCGGGTTCGCAGGTCTCCCGGGTCAGAGGGGTCCCCCAGGGGATCCCGCTCCCCCGGGGCTGCCGGGCCCCAAGGGCGACCGGGGCCTATCGGGGCAGCCGGGGCTCCCGGGGCAGGACGGACGCCCCGGTGCCCCCGGGGAGAAGGGGTACCCGGGTCTCCCCGGCGACAAGGGCCTGGCAGGGCCCCCCGGGCTACCAGGAGCGGCAGGACTCAAGGGCGACGTCGGGCTCCCGGGGCTACCGGGACTCCCCTGCCCCCCAGGCCCCAAGGGCGACAAGGGCAGCAGCGGCCTCCCGGGCATCCCAGGGGAGCGGGGGACCCCCGGACCCAAGGGCTTCGCGGGCATCCCCGGTCTGGTCGGCCGCCCGGGACCCCCCGGCCCCAAGGGCGAGCCAGGGCTCCCAGGACCCGCCGGACGCCCCGGGGTCCCCGGAACGAAGGGCCAGAGGGGCCTCCCGGGTCCCCAGGGCCCCATAGGACCCGTAGGACCCGTAGGAAGCCCCGGGATGGACGGGATGCCGGGCGAGAAGGGACAGAGGGGCTTCGACGGGCTGCCGGGACCCGAAGGACCGAGGGGCATGAAGGGAGAGCGGGGCTTCGACGGGGCCCCGGGACTGCCGGTGAGTAGAGAGAGAGAGAATAAAGGAGGGAGAGAGAGAGAGAAAGAGAATAGGGAGAGAGAGAGAGAGAGAGAGAGAGAGAGAGAGAGAGAGAGAGAGAGAGAGAGAGAGAGAGAGAGAGAGAGAGAGAGAGAATAAAGGATAGAGAGATAATAATAGATAATAAAGAGAATAAAAAGGAGAGAGAGAGAGAATAAAGGAGGAGAGAGAGAGAATAAAGAGGGAGGAGAAGAGAGAGAGGATGGAGAGGGAGGGAGAGAGAGAGAGAGAGAATGGAAAGAAGGGGAGAGAAGGAAGGGAAGGGAGAGAGAAAAAGAGAGAGAGAGATGTGAGAGGGAGGGAGGAGAGAGAGAGATAAAGGAGGAGAGAGAGAGAGAGAGAGAATAAAGGAGGGAGAGAGAGAGAGAGAGAGAAAGATGGGGGAGGGAGAGAGACTAAAGGTAGGAGAGAGAGAGAGACAAAGGTGGGAGAGGGAGGGAGAGAGAGAGAGAGAGAAAGATGGAGAGGGAGAGGAGAAAAAAGGAGGGAGGAGAGAGAGCGAGAGAATGGAAAGAAGGGAAGAGAAGGAAGGAAAGGGAGAAGAGGAAGAGAGAGAGAGAGAGAGAGAGGGAGAGAGAGAGAGAGAGAGAGAGAGAGAGAGAGAGAGAGAGAGAGAGAGATGGAGAGGGAGGGAGAGGAGAGAGATGGGAGAGGAAGAGGGAGGAGAGAGAGAAAGGGAAAGAGAGAGAATAAAGGAGAGAAAGATGAGAGAGGGAGAGAGAGAGAGAAATGGAGAGAGGGGGAGAGAAGGAAGGGAAGGAAAGAGAGAGAGAGGGAGAGGGACGGAGAGGGAAGGGAAGGAAAGAGAGAGAGAGGGAGAGGAGGAGAAGGGAAGAGAGAGAGAGAGAAGAGAGAGAGAGAAGAGAGAGAGAGAGAGAGAGAGAGAGAGAGAGAGAGAGAGAGAGAGAGAGAGAGAGAGAGAGAGAGAAGAATAGAATGAGAAGAGAGAGATTGGGAAGGGAGAGAGAGAGAGTAATTCTTAAAGACCATGCTATCTACACCCTATTTCACCCTTCTCATCTCCCTCACCCCTTTCCACCCATCACCCTTCACCCTCATCCCCCCTCCCCCTCCCCACCCTTCACTCTTCCCCCCACCCTCCACCCCCATTTCCACTCCCCCCCCCCATTCACCCTCACTCTTCACCCTTCATTCTCATTTCCACTCCTCCCTCCACCGTCCCTCACTACCCCCACCCTCCAACCCTACCCTTCACCCCTCACGTCCACCCCCCTCCCTTTACCCTCCCCTCCCCCCTCCACTCCACCCCCCCCTTCACCCTCACCTATCCACCCCCCCACCCACCCCACCCCCCAACCTTCCCCGTCACTTCTCCCTCCCCTCCCCTCCCCTTCCCTCCACTCTCCCTTACCCTCCCTAACCCCCCCAACACTCTCACTCCCCCCCACCTAACCCCCATCACCCCACACCCCTCACACCCACCCTTCCCACCCCAAACCCCCAACAACACCCCCAAAAAACTCACTTCTCCCTTTTCTCTCCCTCCCCTTTCACTTCCCCCAACCCCACCCTTTACTCTCCCCCAACACCCCTCACTTCCCCCTTCACCCCCCCGTTCACCCCTTCACCCCACCCCAACCCCACCCCATCACCCTCCCCCTTTACCCCTTCACCCCCAAACACCCATCACCCCCCTTTCACCCCAAAAAACTCACTTCTCCCTTTTTTCTCTCCCCTCCCCTCCCCTCTCCCTTCACCCATCCCCCCAACCCCACCCATCACACACCACCCCCCTCCACCACCCCCTCCCCCAACCCTCCAAACACACCCCCACAAAACTCACTTCACCCTCCCTCCCCTACAATCCCCACCCACCCATCACCCTCCCCCCCTACCCACCCCCTTTCACCCCACAAAAAAACTCAAACCCCAAAAAAACTCACTTCTCCCTTTTTTTCTCCCCCCCCTTTTTCCACCTCCAGGGCCAACGGGGCTTCGATGGCACCAAGGGCGAGCCGGGCAGGGCTTGTTCCGACCAAGAGCAGCACTTCTCTGGCACTCTCATAGTCAGGCACTCCCAGACGTCCATAGTGCCAAGGTGTGAGGCCGGGCACTTCCGGCTGTGGGAGGGGTACTCGCTGCTCTACGTGGAAGGGAACGAGAAGGCGCATCATCAGGATCTGGGTGAGTAGTGAGGTGAAGTGAAGTGAGTGAGTGGTGGTGAAGTGAAGTGAAGTGAAGTGAAGTGTGTAAGTGAGGTGAAGTGAGGAGGTATGAAATGGAGTGAGTGAAGTGAAGTGAAGTGAGTGAGGTGAAGTGAATGAGGAGGTATGAAATGGAGTGAGTGAAGTGAAGTAAGTTGAAGTGAAGTGAGTGAGTGAATTAACCCCCAATTTCTAAACCAATTAACCAATTTCAACCAATTAACCGATTTCAAAACCAATTAACCAATTTTCACCCCAATTTCAAATTAACAATTTCAAAACCAATTAACCCCCCCAATTTCAAAACCAATTAACCAATTTCCCAATTTCAAAACCAATTAACCCCCCAATTTCAAAACCAAATTAACCCCCATTCCCAATTTCTAAACCAATTAACCCCCCTCCCAATTTCAAAACCAATTAACCCCAATTTCAAAACCAATTATCCCCCTCCCAATTTCAAACCAATTAACCCAATTTCACCTCCAATTTCAAAACCAATTAACCCCAATTTCACCCCAATTTCAAAACCAATTAACCCCCCAATTTCAAAACCAATTAACCCCAATTTCACCCCAATTACAAACAATTAACCCCCAATTACAAACCAATTAACCCCCAATTACAAACCAATTAACCCCCAATTTCACCCCCCAATTACAAACCAATTAACCCCAATTTCAAGACCAATTAACCCTCCAATTTCAAAACCATTAACCCCAATTTCAAAACCAATTAACCCCCAATTTCAAAACCAATTAACCCCTCCCAATTTCAAAACCAATTAACCCCTCCCAATTTCAAACCAATTTACCCCCAATTACAAACAATTAACCCCCAATTTCAAAACCAATTAACCCCCCCCCCCCATTTCCCAATTTCAGGTCTGGCCGGTTCCTGCGTTCGCCGCTTCAGCACCATGCCCTTCATGTTCTGTGACTTCAACAACGTGTGCAATTACGCCAGCCGGAATGACAAGTCTTATTGGCTGTCCACTAATGACCCCATTCCCATGATGCCGGTGGCCGATTCGGCAATTAGGCCGTATATTTCGAGGTGAGTGTGGGTAATTAAGGGGTGATTAGGGGTAGTTAGGGTGATTAAGGGTAGTTAGGGGGTTGGATGGGGGTAATTAGGGGGCTAAAAGGGGTGATTAGGGGTGATTAAGGGTTGTTAGAGGGTTGGATGGGGGTAGTTATGGGTAGTTGGGTTGGATGGGGTGATTAAGGGTAGTTAAGGGGTTGGATGGGGTAGTTAAGGGTAGTTAGAGGGTTGGATGGGGGTAGTTAAGGGTAGTTATGGGGTTGGATGAGGTTAATTAGGGGGTTATAAGGGATAATTAGGGGTAGTTAGGGGGTTGGATGGGTTTAAAGGGGTAATTAAAGGGTAAATTAAGGGGTAAGAGGGGGTTGGATGGGGTAATTAGAGGGTAAGATAGTTAATCAGTGTGTAAGTAAGAGGTATGAGAGGTAATTAGAGGGTAAATTAAGGGGTATGAGGGATAATTAAGGGGTGTGAGAGGTAATTAGGGGTAATTAAGGGGTACGAGGGATAATTAGTGGGTAAAAGACTTAATTAGGAGGTTAGATGGGGGTAATTAGAGGTAAAGGTGGGATAATTAGGTGCTGGTTTGGGGGCAATTAGGGAGCTGAATAGTTAATTAGGGGTTAAATGGGCAGTTAGGGATTAGATGGGTAATTAGGGAGATGAATAGGTAATTAAGGAGTTGGATTAGTCAATTAGGGAGTTGCTTAAGTAATTAAGTCTTCATTAATGAGGTTATTAATCAGAAGATGAGGTAATTACTTTGAAATTTGTTTTAGTATTAATGTCATGTAATGTTTTGATGAGAATGATAATTATAATTATTACATTATCATTATTATTACTATTATTATCATCATCACATTATCATTATCATATTACATTAACATTCCAATGCCTAACCTCATTCCTATCCCATTCCAACCCTCAACCCCCTGATTCCATCACCCCAATAAAACCATTAATTACTACTATACCATTCCACATCCACACCCACCCGATGCCCCCCCCTAACACCCCCTCCAAATTCCTCACAGACATATCCCGACCCTTTCCACAACTCACCCCACCCAACCCCCTGACTTCCAAGCCTCTACCCCCCCCTCATCTCCGCATTCCCAATCAAACTTTCTATTCACCAAATCCCACTAAGTTCTATTTTCAGTCCTCATTCCCGTTCCTCAAATTACCCATACGGAACCCTTTGGATTCCCATTTTTCCCACCCCAACCCACCAACCCCTCATTCACCCACACTCCCAACCCAAAACCCACCCTCCATCTCCCACATGCCATCGCCCACTCCCTAACCCCACCCACCCAATCTCACAGTTCACCCCCCAACACCTCCCACCACCTCACCCACCTCCTCAAACCCCTAAACAATCTATATCAACCCTCACCCCACACTCTCCAAACCACTCACCTCTAACCCACCAACCCCCGCCATCATCCTCTCCCAATCCCACTTAAATCAAACCCCCAACACCCACCCAATCCATTCCCTCCCCACCCTACTATTCCCACCTCCTAACCCAAACCCAACCCCGCCCTGATCTCCCCAAAAACAACCCACTTCACATCCATTCACCCCCCATTCCGCCTCTCAAACCTCTCAATTCCCCAAATCTACCCACCCCCATTCAACCACCACATACCATCCACCACCCACCCCACAACCCCCTCGACATTCCCATTCCCACTCTACCCCCCAAACCCCTCATCCATTCCCACTCTAACCCCACCCCCTCATTCCATTACCACTCTAACCCCAATTCCCATTCCCACTCTAACCCACCCCCTCATTCCCATTCCCACTTAACCCCCAATTCCATCCCATTCCAAACCCCGTATTCCAACCCCATTCCAAGACCATATATTGCCCACCCCAGAACCCACTATTCCCCTTCTTTACCTTCCCATTCCACTCCAGACCCCCTCATGCCCATTCCCATCGCCAATTCCCACTCCACCCCCCCCATTCCCATTCCCCACTCCAAAACCCCCCCATTCCCATTCAACCACACCCATTTTCCCATTCACCACTCCAAACACCCAACACCCCATTCCACTCCAACAACCAACACCCCATCCCACTTCCACAAACCCAACACCCATTCCCACTCCAACCACCCAACACCCCATTCCCACTCCAACACCCAAACCCCCAATTCCCATTCCCACTCCAACACCTCAACCCCAACACCCACCCCTCCTCCCATTCCCAACCACGCCTCTCAACACCCCCCAACGCCCACCACTCACTCTCCCAATTCTCCCACACCAATCCCAATCCCCAACCCAGCCCCTGCATTCCCCATTCCCAACTCCAACCACCCAACCCCTCATCCACCATTTCCCACGCCTCCATCAACACCCCCACCACCTCACACATCACTGCCGCTACATTCCCCCCATCTCCAAAAACACCCCCTCCATATCATCCCCCTCACATTCCCCACACCTACTCCACGGCCACCCTAATTTTCCCACCTCACAACGCCCCACACCGCTTCCATTCCAACCCCCCATATATCCCCACGCATATCCCACCCCACACACCCCCACACACACTCCCTATTCCCACACTCCACACCCAACGCCCACCCATTCCCATTTACCACCCAAACATCCCAACAACCCCTCACAAAACACCTAACCCCATCCCCCATTCCCCAACTTCCAAACACCTCTCAACCCTAACCCCCAATTCCCATTTCCAACCCCCCAACCCCATTCCCATTCCCACTCTGGACCCCTCCCACCCCACTTCCCATCTCTCATCCAATCACCCTCATTCAACTCAACCCCCTACATTCCATTCCTCTGCACACCATCTCCTCATTTCCCCATTACCCACCTCCCACCCACACCCAATCCCTACACCCCCCTCAATCCCTAAACATCTACCACCCACCTCCACAAACTCTCCACACCTAATTCGTCCCTTTCCAACACATCTCAGAACCCTCTCGCCCCATCCGTCAACACACCCTCCACTCCCCTCTCATACTCTCCACACCTCCCCAAACCCACTCCACCACCCCCCATCTCAACCACCACATCACTCCACCAACTCTGAAACCTCTCTCACCTCAATCCCAATTCCCCAAACATCTCCAACCCCAAACCCACCTCACTCCTCCCCCAATCCAACAACCACCAACAACCCTCTTCCCATCTCCCCCTGCCAAACACACTCCTCACGACCCCCAACCCACAAAACCCACCCCACTTCCCATTCCCCCACATCATCACCGAACCAACACAAACCCAACCAACCCCCCCAATCTCACCGTGCATCCAACTCTGATCCCTCTACCCATCTCTTCCCCATCTCCAGCCACCACGTGCGTGGCGTTAGTGTGAAGCCCCGCGCGAACCGTGATTCGCGGTTCACATCAGTCAGTGCGCTGACGCATCCCCGACTGGTCGAATGGAAGTGGTTCGGTCTGTGGGATCGCGGATATTCAAAGTTTTCGTATGAGTCAAGGTTAATTATTTAATTTATTATTCTATTGTCTTTATTATTTTTGTTTTGTTTGTTATGGGGCAACATGGTATATAGTTTCTTACAGTACAGCGTTCCTAAGGCGGGTTTTTTTAGGGCGTCATTCACTAAGGGGTCACCGGTCATTCAGTCAGGCGCTGTAGACATCCCCGACTGGTCCGCGACAACAGGGTTAACCATCGGTCGGGTACTGCTTGGATCCGGTTATTCGTTCGATTTATAATGACGGATAACGATTATTTATCTACTTTCATTTATTTATTTATTTTTTTTTGTCTTAGCGGTGTATATAGTTAATTTAAGGGGTTTTTATAGGGTTCTTTTTAGGGGTTTTTACAGCGGTCGTGTTCACAGTTCAGGCGGCTGAGCATTCCGCGACTGTCGAATTGGACTATGTTGGTTCGGGCTCTGTGGATCGGGTGTTCGTTTTCGTTATTTGGTAAGTTTTATTATTTTTATTATTATTTTAGGGTGTATACGGGTTTTTAGGGGTTTTAAGGGGTTTTAGGGGTTTTTAAGGGTCGGTTCATAGTCAGGCGTGAAGCATCCCCGACTGTCGAATGGGTGGTTCGGGTCTTGTGGATCGGGGTATTCGTTTCTTTTATGGTAAAGTTTTATTTATTTTATTATTATTATTATTATTTATTGTTTAGGGTGTATATAGGTTTTTAAGGATTTTTTTTAGGGGTTTTAAGGGGTTTTAAGGGGCGTTTTCATAGTCGAGGTTTCGTTCGTTATGGTAAGTTTTTATTATTATTTATTTATTATTATTATTATTATTATTTATTATTTTATTATTATTAGGGTGTATATTAGGTTTTTATTGGGGTTTTAAGGGTTTTTTTTAGGGGTTTTAAGGGTCGGTTCATAGTCAGGCGCTGAGCATTCCCGACTGTCCGAATGGTGTGGTCGGGTCTGTGGATCGGGTATTCGTTCGTTATGGTAAGTTTTATTATTTTTATTATTATTTTTTAGGGTGTATACGGTTTTAAGGGTTTTTTTTTAGGGGTTTTAAGGTTTTTTTTAGGGGTTTTAAGGGTTTTTTTAGGGGTTTTAAGGGTCGGTTCACAGTCAGGCGCTGAGCATCCCCGACTGTCCGAATGGGTGGTCGATTTTTTTGTTTGTTTTTGTTGTTTAGTTTTTAAAATGTTCTTTTTTCTTTTTTGTTGTTTTCTTTTCTTTTTTTTTTGTTTTCTTTTCTTTTTTTTAGGGTGTATTACGGTTTTTAAGTGTTTTAGGGTTGTTGCGATAGTTTTAGGGCGATCAAGGGTGTATATTTTAAGTATATTTTAAGGATATTTTTACTGTCTATTTTGGAGAAAATATTAAGGATTTTTTTTTTTTTTTTTTTTTTTAAGAAAGACATTTTTTTTTTTTTTTTTTTTTTTTTAGGAATCTTTAAGGATTTTTTAAATGAATTTTTAAACTGTTTTTTGAGGATTTCTAATGGATTTTTAACTTTTTTTTTTTAAGGAATCTTTAAGGATGAAAAAAAGGGATTTTTAAATGGAATTATTATTATTATTGTTATTATTATTATTTATTATTATTATTATTATTATTATTATTATTATTATTATTATTATTATCATTTAAGGATTTTAATGGGATATTATTATATTATTATATTTTATTATTATTATATTATTATTATTTAGGAAATTTTTATGAATTTTAATTATTATTATTATTATTATTATTATTAATTATTATCATTTAGGAAATGTTAATGAATTTTAATGATATTATTATTATTACTATTATTATTATTATTATTATTATTATTATTATTATTATTATTATCATTTTAGGAAATTTTAATGAATTTAATAATAATAATATTATTATTATTATCATTTAGGAAATTTTTAATGAATTTATTATTATTATTACTATTATTATATTATTATTATTATTATTATTATTATTATTATTATTATTATCATTTATTTTAATTATAATATAATATTATATTATCATTTAGGAAATTTCATGAATTTAATATTATTATTATTTATTATTATTATTATTATATTATTATTATTATTAATTATCATTTAGGAAATTTTCATGAATTTAATTATTATTATTATATTATTATTATTATTATTATTATTAATATCATTTAGGAAATTTTAATGAATTTACTATTATTATTATTAATATTTTTAGGAATTGAGGATTTTTTTTAAGAATTTTTCAACACTAACTCTCTCTCTCCCCCCCCCCCCCCACCTCCCGCAGCACACGGCCGCCGCGCCGAAGGAGGCGGCCAGAGCCTCAGCAGCCCCGGGTCGTGCCTGGAGGACTTCCGCGCCACGCCCTTCATCGAGTGCAATGGCGCCCGCGGGACCTGCCATTACTTCGCCAACAAATTCAGTTTCTGGCTGGCCACCATCGAGGAGGTCGCGCAGTTCTCCCGCCCCGTTTCGGAGACGCTCAAGGCTGGCAGTCTGCGGACGAGGGTGTCGAGGTGTCAAGTGTGTATTAAGAACACTTAGGGTGGATATTTTAGGGTGAATTAGGGTGCGGAGGGAGCGGAAGGGTGTGGAGGGTTGGGTGCGAAGGAGGAGGAGGAGGGAGGGTGAAGGATGGATAGGATTGAGAGGGATGAAGATGAGGTGGAGGAGAAGTGGGTGTGGCGGCGAGGTTTCGAGAGTGAAAGTAGAGCATCTTAGGATGGGTCTTTTATTGTGAATTAGGGTTGAGAAAGGGTTGGAAGGGTGTTGAGAAGGAGGAGGAGGAGGAAGGAAGAAGGATGGATGACAATAAAGATGAAGAGAACGATGGAAATAGACGAAAAAGAGAGTGAGAGAGAGGTTTGAAGCAGGTTCGAATCTCGGATTGAGAAGGTGCGAATAACGGTCCTTCTGAGGGGCGAATAACGGTCCCTTTGAGGTGCGAATAAGACGAGACGAGGATTGGTTAGAGAAGATAAACACCCCTTCAATTCCATTCAAATAAAGACAGGAGGAAAGGATAGCGAATGGATAAAGGACAAGAGGAAAGAGAAAAGGATAGAGAGAACGGAGGATAAAGGACAAGAGGTAAGAGAAAAG